GGTGTGTGTGTGGTGTGTGTGTGTGTGTGTGGTGGTGTGTGTGTGTGTGTGGGTGTGTGTGTGGTGTGTGTGTGTGTGGTGTGTGTGTGGTGTGTGTGTGGTGTGTGTGTGTGTGGTGTGTGTGTGGTGTGTGTGTGTGTGTGTGTGTGTGTGTGGTGTGTGGTGGTGTGGTGTGTGTGTGTGTGGTGGTGTGTGTGTGTGTGTTGGGTGTGGGTGTGTGTGGTGGTTGGTGTGTGTGGTGTGTGTGTTGTGGTGTGTGGGTGGTGTGTGTGTGGTGTGTGTGTGTGGTGTGGGGTGTGTGGTGTGTGTGTGTGGGTGTGTGTGTGTGGTGTGTGTGTGTGGTGTGTGTGTGTGGTGTTGTGTGTGGTGTGGTGTGGTGTGTGTGTGTGTGTGTGGTGGTGTGTGTGGTGTGTGTGTGGTGGTGTGTGTGTGTGGTGGGGTGTGTGTGGTGTGTGTGTGTGTGTGTGTGTGGTGTGTGTGTGTGGTGTGTGTGTGTGTGGTGTGTGTGTGTGGTGTGTGTGTGTGTGTGTGTGTGTGTGTGTGGTGTGTGTGTGTGTGAGTGTGTGTGTGTGGTGTGTGTGTGTGTGGTGTGTGTGTGTGGGGTGTGTGTGTGTGGTGTGTGTGGTGGTGTGTGTGTGTGGTGTGTGTGTGTGGTGTGTGTGTTGTGGTGTGTGTGTGTGGTGTGTGTGTGTGGTGTGTGTGGTGTGTGTGTGTGGGGTGTGGTGTGTGGTGTGTGGTGTGTGTGTGTGGGTTTGGGGTGTGTGTGGTGTGTGTGTGTGGTGTGTGTGTGTGTGTGTGTGTGTGTGTGTGCTTTTGAGGTCACTAAGGGAGACCTAATTAACCAAGTAAATGGTCACACCTTGCTTTGGCAAATAGCTGTCAGACACACCTCTTGGCTTAAGTCTCAGGCCTTTTGACTTGACTCCGAGATCTGACACCGTCAAGAATAAAAAGCCTGAGACTTAAGCCGAGAGGCGTGTCTGACAGCTATTTGCCAAAGCAAGGTGTGACCATTTACTTGGTTAATTAGGTCTCCCTTAGTGACCTCAAAAGCACAGTTGAACAACATCACACTGCCACCCATTTTCCATTCATAATGTGCAGTAATTCCAAGCAGGACGAGCATTGAGCATAACCATATAAACATAACCATATAGAAGAAAGTCTATGTTAGCAGCCTGAAGGCCTGACCAATAATGTAACATGCTGCTCACTACTTTAAAATGGTTCAAAAAGATAATCTGAGGGAAAATTATCTGAAAGCTATTTCATTATATAAAATGTAAAAGATATCTTCCCTGGATTAATAACTGCATGAGAAGCCTATGACAGAGTTGTGCATATGGCTATCATGCAAGATACATTGTGAACCTATAATATAAATTCCAGGAGCATAGCATGCAAGAACACACACAACTCTCAGTTTATATTAAAATGCAAATGTCTGATTTTGTTTTTATATATAACCCATGTATTTTATCATCTTCTCTGCTTTAATGATAAAGTTCAATAATATTTCAATGCTAAAAACAACTATGACTCACCCACACATAAAATGTTCCACCTAATCACAATTATGTTTTATGAAAATAAAGCCACATTTAATCTATTTTTCAATGACAGTTTTAACTTTATACAGTTCAAAGGGATTTAGGTGACTGAGGGTGCTATTCATAGGTTGTGGTAATATCATGTCCAGTATTAAGCCTTTGTGCCTTTATCAAGGCAACAATTCTTACTAGGCGAGGGCTCATAGGTGCCTGGTCATTACTGTAGTTTATTTCAGTAAGTGTGTAATGCCTGTGTTACATCTAATCAATTACTGTATTTGTCCAATCATCCAGATTTGTGTTTTTTTTTTTTAACACACTGGCTGTCTCCCACTGAGGCAGGGTGATCCAAAAAAGAAACACTTTCACTATCACTGCCTTGCCAGAGGCACGCATTTACAACAGTTTCAATGCCCCTCCAAACAGCAAATATCCCCAATCTCTCCTTTAGAGTGCAGGCACTACTTCCCACCTCCAGGACTCAAGTTCAGCTAACCGATTTTCCTAAATCCCTTCACTAAATATTGCTCTGCTCACACTCCAACAGCTTGTCAAGTCCCAAAAACTATTCGTTTCCACTCACTCCTATCGTACACACACACACACATATGCCTGCTCTATGTCCAAGCCCCTAGCACACAAAAAATCCTTCAGCCCCTTTCTCCATCCTTTCCTAGGATGACTCCTACCCTGCCCCCTAGCTTCCCTCCACTATATATTTATACACCCTCCAAGTCATCCTATTTTGCTCCATCCTCACTAAATGTTCAAGCCACCTCAATAACCCTTTCCTCACCTCTCTGAATAATACTTTTAGTAACTCCGCACTTCCTAATTTCCAAACTACAATCTCGTGCATAATATTTAAGCCACATATTGCCCTCAGGAGATGAAGGTTTTGGGTAGATGGAGAGAATATTTTGAGGAACTTTTAAATGTCAACGAAGAAAGGGAAGCGGTAATTTCATGCACTGGCCAGGGAGGTATACCATCTTTTAGGAGTGAAGAACAGGATGTGAGTGTGGGGGAGGTGACCGAGGCATTATGTAGAATGAAAGGGTGTAAAGCAGCTGGAACTGATGGGATCATGACAGAAATGTTAAAAGCAGGGAGGGATATAGTGTTGGAGTGGTTGGTATTTTTGTTTAATAAATGTATGAAAGAGGGCAAGGTACCTAGGGATTGGCAGAGAGCATGTATGGTCCCTTTATATAAAGGGAAGGGGGACAAAAGAGATTGTAAAAATTAAAGAGGAATAAGTTTACTGCCTCGGTGGGAGACGGCCGACTTGTTGAAAAAAAAAAGTTTACCGAGTATACCAGGAAAAGTGTACGGTAGGGTTATAATTGAAAGAATTAGAGGTAAGACAGAATGTAGGATTGCAGATGAGCAAGGAGGTTTCAGAGTGGGTAGGGGATGTGTAGATCAAGTGTTTACATTGAGGCATATATGTGAACAGTATTTAGATAAAGGTAGGGAAGTTTTTATTGCATTTATGGATTCAGAAAAGGCATATGATAGAATGGCTAGGGGAGCAATGTGGCAGATGTTGCAAGTATATGGAATAGGTGGTAAGTTATTGTAAATGCTGTAAAGAGTTTTTATGAGGATAGTGAGGATCAGATTAGGGTGTGTAGAAGAGAGGGAGACTACTTCCCAGTAAAAGTAGGTCTTAGACAGGGATGTGTAATGTCACCATGGTTGTTTAATATATTTATAGATGGGGTTGTAAAGGAAGTAAATGCTAGGGTGTTCAGGAGAGGGGTGGGATTAAATTTTGGGGAATCAAATACAAAATGGGAATTGACACAGTTGCTTTTTGCTGATGATACTGTGCTCATGGGAGATTCTAAAGAAAAATTGCAAAGGTTAGTGGATGAGTTTGGGAGTGTGTGTAAAGGTAGAAAGTTGAAAGTGAACATAGAAAAGAGTAAGGTGATGAGGGTATCAAATGATTTATATAAAGAAAAATTGGATATCAAATTGGGGAGGAGGAGTATGGAAGAAGTGAATGTTTTCAGATACGTACTTGGGAGCTGACGTGTCAGCGGATGGATTTATGAAGGATGAGGTTAATCATAGAATTGATGAGGGAAAAAAGGTGAGTGGTGCGTTGAGGTACATATGGAGCCAAAAAAAACGTTATCTATGGAGGCAAAGAAGGGAATGTATGAAAGTATAGTAGTACCAACACTCTTATATGGGTATTTTCTTTTTTGGGGATTTTCTTTCTTTTTTGGGTCACCCTGCCTCGGTGGGAGACGGCCGACTTGTTGGAAGAAAAAAAAAAAAAAAAAAAAAAAATTGCCCTCAGACACACGTTCACTACCTCCAGCATCCTTCTTGCTGCAACATTCACAACCCATGCTTCACACCTATTTAAGAGTGTTGGTGCCACTATACTCTCGTACATTCCCTTTGCCTCCATGGATAATGTTCTTTGTTTCCACAGATACCTCAATGCACCACCCACCTTTTTTCCCTGATCAATTCTATCCTTAACCTTGTCTTTCATGTACCCATCTGCTGACATAGTCATTTTTTTTTTTATTAAATTTTCTTTTTCTATACTCCCTCTCTCCAATATGATACTCAATTTTTCCTAACTTAATTTGATACCCTCATCACTTTACTTTTATCTATGTTAACTTTCAACTTCCTTCCTTTACAGATTTAATACAGTATCTGTCTAGTTTCCCATACATAAGCAACTGGATACTTTCTGAAATTTACATATATACCATATTTTGCAGCATTTAAAATATACCTGTTGCTTCAGGCTCACTATGATAACAGTATCTATCTTACTCTAAAGTCAGCACAGGGTCTGCCTGTGCACTACCCACAGAGCTCTAAGCAAGCTCACCCCACCTACCCTTCCACCCACCCACATACACACACACGCACACCCACCCCTTGGCAGTCAAAGTTACTCAGCAGAAATTTTGAACTTGGCCCAAGAATTGGAGCATGCATTAATTTGTTCGTCATTACACTATACCAAGTTAAGTTTCATCAACACATACACAGGCACATTTCTAAATCTGCCTTGTGGGGAAACCTTGATTATTTACCCACTAAAATTCATCAGGCATAAAATTTGAAAAAAGTAGTAAAATATTGGCAAGTTGAACAAAATCTCTCAAAATCAGTCATTTGCAGCTTCAGATAACATGATCACAAAACATTATAATAAGGTGTAATGAATCAAGTGTGGCACACTGTCCAACCCTTGCACAGCTACACCTGCTTCCAATGATTTGAACTGGAAGGGAAGGGAAGGGGTAAACCAAAACCAAGTCCGCTTCATATTTGTCAGTAAAGACTTGCTCTATTCTGAAGACCATGAATACGCAATACTTGTGAGTTCTATGTAGACAACAGACACTAAATAGCCCACAAGATATTATTAGTATGTGTAACAGCATCAAGATACAGGTTAGTAAGTACCTCTGTTGGCACCTCCCCAAAAGACCATCTATTCGAACTAGGGCTTATGAACAGCTCGGATAATCTCTGCCGAAAAAAATGCACATCATATTGTCAAATATGTTATATAATACCTAGCAAAGCTTGTAAGGAAAATTTATGACATTATCATTTTGCACAGTAAAAGATTTACTGGCTTGAGAACCAAGACAGCATGTGAATATCATACATTAAGTACTGTACTATATATTCTTCATGAGTTGCAAGTGTAAGCAAGCAAACATAAATGAAAATATATTATGAATGTCTGATACCTGTAAGTGATAGCTAAAGCAAGCTTTTATGAGATAAGCAGATTAAATGGTTACATCTAATTTCCTATACACAGGTAACTAAGCTTGAGTAAATTGCTCATGGCCTAGCAGTTAGTAAAATGCTGTTTAGATAGATGGAAAAATGATTGTGATTGAAATTCTAGTTCATCTAAGATAATGACTGGTCATCAATTACATTTCCACTCAGTAACTGAATAGGAAACAGTTAATTACCCTTGCTTGTCTGCTGCAGATGACCATAACTTTGTCAAACACAAATACATATCTGGAACAGATGGAAAATGAGAGTACATTAGAGATGATACACAAATAGGTTAAGCCAAGGAATACAGGGGTCTATGTTATAGAGAAATAATTTAAAATTATTGCAACTGTTGGGAACAAGCAATGAAATCTATTACAGTACATGCAGTCTAATTACTGTAATAGAAATGCACTGCATAATTAGTGGCTTTCTTTTGTGGCTATCACTGTATTAATTCATATAAACTATATTGTTTGTATGGCATAAAGAAATAAATACAGTGGTACCTCAGTATACGTCCGCTTTGGAATAAGTCCAACTTGGTATATATCCTGTTTGGATGCGAAAATTTTTATTTGGTATACGACCTTTGTTTGAAATACGACTCACGTGCTAGAACTTATATTGGTCAAAATGAGTCATGACACCGCACGCTACCCTTGTTTACCTCTCTCTCGAGACAAAGCCATGACTGCCCACTAGCATCAGTACACCCATTGCTATCATTCAGTGAACAACCCGCACTGTAACTCCGAATTTTCATGTGATTTTGTGTTTTTTCACATAAATTTTTAGTAAATTTATTAACCATGAGTTCTATGTTAATGAGAAGAGCCAAGCAATGAAGAAAATGGTTAGGATCACCATGGAGGTGAAAAAAGAGATTGTTGAAAAGTTTGAAGGTGGCATGCATATCCGGGACTTGGCTGCTGCATACTGTATGCCGAGAACAACAGTATCTATGATTGTGAAAAACAAAGATGTTATTAAATCGGCTAACATTGCGAAGGGGGTGAAATCGATTACCAAACAAAGATCAGGGACATCATAGCATGCTAAAAAGTTGCTTCTGATCTGGATAACAGAAAAAGTGTGCTGGCAATAGTGTATCAGAGGCAATGATTTGCAAAAAGGCAAAACTGATGCATGCCGATCTTTTGAAAAACAAGGCAGGAACGAGCCAAGAAAGTGAGGTGTTTGAAGCCAGCCATGGCTGGTTTGATAATTTTAAGAAGAGGACTGGCATTCACAGTGTTGTGAGGCATGGAGGGGGGAGCCAGTGCTGATAAAGATGCCACCAATGATTTTGTTACAGTGTGTGGGGAATTTGTGGAGGCTGAGGGTTTTGTTCCCCAAAGAGTTTTTAATTGTGATGAAACAGGCCTGTTTTGCAAGAAAATGTCTAACAGGACCTATATTACACAAGAGGAGAAGGCATTATCAGGAGACAAGCCAATGAAGGATAGGTTAACTCTCTTGTTCTGTGCCAATGCAGTGGGGAGTGCAAACTGAAGCCTTTACTGATATACCAGAACAATGAACTCTACTTGAGGAATTTATGGCCAGAAGTAATGGCTGAGAGGGACTTTGAGAGCTTTGAGGCTGTGTCTATAGTGAAGGATATTGTCTCTCTGGGCAGATCTATGGATCTGGATGTGAGTGATGGTGATGTGGAGGAGTTTGTGGAGGGACAAGAGAAGAGCTGACCACTGAGAAGTTGCAGGAACTTGAGAAGGAGCGCAAGACTAAGATGGATGCACTCTCTTCAGGCTCAGAAGAGGAGACAGAGGAAGCCCCCACTTCATTAATCAGGGAAATCTTTGCCAAATGGATGGACGTCAAAAACTTTGCAGAGAAGTACCATCCCAACAAAGCCCAAACAAGCCGTAATAGCATTGCTCAAATGAAAAGATAATGTCGCATTTCTGAAACATCCTGAAGAGAAGGCAGGAGCAAAGTTCTTTGGACAGATTTTAGTAAAAGTCAAACCTGATGAGCTTCAACCAGGTCTAAATAGGGAAAAGAGACAGAAAAGAGAAGGGGACTCTCCTTCCAAACAATAACATTTCCTCCTCCTCCCTTCTCAGCACTATCCTAGTAGGCACTCGACTCTTTTCAGCAAAGTAAAGTGAGGTTAAATTTGCATATTTTTCATCTAATTCTTTTGTATTTATGTATGTATTTTAGTATTAAGCAGTGTTTAAATTACATATTTTAGTAATAAGCAGTGTTTAAATTATTTTATACAAATCCATCAATGTACAATATGCCAATAAAAAAAAATAAAACGTTGATCTACATTCGGAGTGCTACGTGCGCAAACGTATATCTACGCTTGGACAGTTTAACCCTTTGACGGTTTTGATTGTACAGTGGACCCCCGGTTAACGATATTTTTTCACTCCAGAAGTATGTTCAGGTGCCAGTACTGACCGAATTTGTTCCCATAAGAAATATTGTGAAGTAGATTAGTCCATTTCAGACCGCCAAACATACACGTACAAACGCACTTACATAAATACACTTACATAATTGGTCGCATTCGGAAGGTAATCGTTATGCGGGGGTCCACTGTATATATACATCTTACAAGCCAGTGTTTCTGACATATTACTACACCAAAATTCTAGCAGCTTCAAATCAAGTGGGAGAAAGCTGGTAAGCCCACATGTGAGAGAATGGGTGTGTGGGGTCAGTGTGTGCAGTATAAAAAAAAATTCTGCAGCACGCAGTGCAAGAGAAAAAAAAAACAACTCCGATGGTGTTTTTGGATTAAAACGCTGAATCTGAGCTGTATTTTCATGTAGTATTTATGGTTGTATTCTTGTTTTCTTGGTCTAATTTGAAAAAAATGGAAGACATATTACAGAAATAGAGATGATTTTGATTAGTTTCATGATGAAAAGAACTTTGAAATTGAGCTCAAAGTAGCAGAAATGATTTTTGCCAATGTTCAAGAGTAAACAAATCATGGCACATGCCCAATACACGTCAACTGGTGAGTCTAATATTTTTTCAAAAGTGCATTGATATTATTTACACCATTTTTACAATAATGCAGTAGTCTGCATAACAATAAATCTTCCATTTTATGTGTGAATAAAAATTCAAAACAGAGGTGCCTGGAGACATGACTAATGAACAGAGAAAATGTTACTTTTAGTGCCAGGAATGTCTGCATTATCTATTCTGGACCCTATTTTGAAATTCGCATCTTTTTAATTTGCATGAAATTGGCCAAACTGCCAATTTCTGACCACTTTATTGGGTAGTTGAAATTGGTAAATGGTCAGTTTCGTGTACTCAATCGATAGAACAAATGGAATTCTAAAGAAAGAGCTACGAGTTTGGTCGACTGGAACAATGAAATTGGCTGAAAATAGGGCTCAAAGTGGGCAAAGTCGCCGATGCAGATCTATTGCCAAGATCGCTAACTTTGCGAGAGCGTAATTTGTAAGCTTTCCATCAAATTTTGTACTTTTGGTGTCGTTACCATCGGGAAAAGATTCTCTATCATTTCATAAGGAAAAACAATTTTATCCAATTTTTTGGGATACAGACATGCACTTCATCACTTGGGGTCATGACAGTCAAAGGGTTAAGGGTTAAGAAACTTTATGCAAAAGCACTGTTCAAAAGGTGCTTTTAAGTGACCTCTGAAACAGAGCTTAACCTTGGGGAATTCTGGAAAATCATTTTAATATCCTCCAATTTTTAAAGTTGATAGGCAAAGCCTGGGGAAAAGTTTCTTTCAGGACAATGAATTCTGCCTGGAAGAAATTGTGGCCAGACTGTTTGTCAGAGATTTTGAAGGCTTTGAGGCAGAGCCTGTAGTTAGACATTTTTCTTTGGGCCAGTCCATGGGTTTGGAAATTGACTATGAGGATGTAGAAGAGTTGGAGGAGGATCACAAGAATGAGCTCACCACAGAAAAACTTCAAGACCTGCACAAGGAGCAGCAAGAAGTGGTTGAGGAAATTTCTTCTTTTTCAGAGGAGAGAAGCAGCAAGGTCAACATTTCCATTACAGAAATGAAGAAAATGTGTTACCATTGGGCTCAACTCAGAACCTGGTGGAAAACTGGCATCCGAACATTACTGTTGTGAATAGGAGCATCAACCTGTTCAATGTCAATGTCGTTGACCACTTTAGAAAAATTTTGAAAAGTCATCAAAAGCAGACAACATTGGACAGCTTCTTTAGCAAAGAAAAATAAATCAAATGCTAGTGAATCCCTGTGGCATGCACAGAGTACGTTACATTTATTCGGTGTATGTACACACTCCCATATAGGCTGCTTCCCAACCAGCGAACCGGGTGCTAAGGGTTTAACGATCTTACGGGGCCCCATCATTAAATCAGTACCCTGGTTCATTGACCAATCATAAGGTGGGTCAGGCAATTGCTGAGGTGATGTGGCAGCACTCATGATCAGCTCTTGCCAGACTCGTACAGCTGTTGGTTGCTCATGGTTCTTTGTCTCTGGCTGTTGTTTAGCCTTTTGATTACCATGATACACTTTTTTCCAAACTCTTGTACATAGTGTACATAAGTGTAAATACCTATAATCATACCTGATGAAGGAAAATACAATTTAAAGACTACTGCTGTGTTAATTTTTGCTCCAAGTCCCATTACGACCAGGTTAACAGGCCTTTATTACCTGGATGAGTAATATGGGAAGCCTGTCCAAGAGCTGGAGCTGGAGCTAGTCTTGTATCGTTCAGATAGCTTTGCTATTGTTTGGCATTGTGTGTCAGCATTGCCATCACTTCCATTATTGTGTGTCAGCCTTGCAATCGTTTCGCTATTGCGTGTATGGGTATCCCATCATAATGTGCATTGCTGCTTGAGCATGTATTGCAAACTGTGTGTTAAGTCGGGGTTAATGCCACCTATACGAGTCAGGCGATTGGTATCTGAATTCACTCTACTGAACCTGCCCAAACTTTCTCTACAGCGTTGCTGGTGAATTGCTCATTCCATTAGTATAGAGTATCAAAACACTCTTACTGCTGTGCAGCTTTGTGGCATTATTCATACGAAGTTGAAAGCTGAAGCAACTACGGCACACCAGATTGACGTCTCTCCCACTACAGGAGCTGTTATTCACAGATATCTGCTTAGGTTCCACTTAAAAGCAGCTGAAAATACGATGAAACAGAGGTATGACAGAAATTCAAAGTTTTGCTCCTTCCATCCAGGAGATAAGGTGTTGGTACAGGAGCCTATACCTGGCC